TATGTCGCTGACTATTGAAATAATTATATTAAATTTATGAATTTTTATTTATTTTTCTTAAATTTTTCTTTTCTTAGAAACAATACATATTTCTATATCGTTCGCTGCTTGATATTGCGCAATTTGGCAATACGGAGCTTTCGGCTGTTTCGCTATCCAGTAAAATTGATAGTCTAAAACAAAAGTTAAACGATGGAAAAGATAAAAGCAGATTAGAAATTGAATTCGAGGTAAATACCGGCATAACTATGAAATGATTTGGCAATTATATTAAAACTGATGTTTTATTTCGCAGAAACTTCTTGCCATAACTGATGAAACTGCAAAATCTTCGGAAGTAGGAAGCAATAAGGAGAATATGCCGAAGAATCGTAGCGAAGCGGTCATCCCTTACGATCGTAATAGAGTGAGTATTATATATATTTTTTATGCTCTGAACAGGGTATATTATTTGCTACGAGGCCTGTGACACCCAGAAAGAAATGTCGGAGACTATAAAATATAAAATATAAAAATAAATATAAATAAATAATATAAATCATAGATACTATAGAAGACAGTCGCTATAATTTCCGAATAAACTTTTCAGATCGGACAACTATAGCAGGAAGCTGCCAAACAAACTGAATGTTCAAAATTAAGTTGTTGTATAGAAACTTTTTTATTTGTGTAGGGTATTCTAGCTTCGGTGCAACCGAAGTTAATGTTTCTTTTCCGTAAGCATTTTTTTTTGTATAGGAATCCCCAACAAAAGCAAAACTGCCCTGCCCCCAAGGGCTTCATTAATTTCTTCCTCTGAGTCGAACATCTCGTTTCCAATGTCCGAACCGATATGTTTGAATTGCCGATATATTGTACTTTAATTCGTTTTTTCTTCTGTGTAACGTATTTTTGCAGGTTATACTAACACCAATTCCGATGAAAGAAAATTCCACCTACATAAATGCCTCATTCATTGAGGGTTATGATAATTCAGAAGCATTTATAATCACGCAAGATCCTTTGGAAAACACAATTGGTGATTTTTGGCGCATGATTTCAGAACAAAGTATAACCACACTCGTCATGATTTCCGAGGTACATATACAAACAAATTTGTATATTTAAAAGCATTTAACATTTTAATTTATTTGATTTTAGATTGGTGATGGTCCAAGGAAATGTCCACGTTACTGGGCAGATGATGAAATCCAATACGATCATATACTTGTAAAATATATGCAAAGCGAAAGCTGTCCATATTACACGCGTCGAGAATTTAACGTAACGAATTGTAAGATTGATGACACAATAAAAGTCACACAATTCCAGTACAATGGTTGGCCGACTGTCGATGGCGAGGTACCAGAAGTATGTCGCGGTATTATCGAACTCGTCGATCAGGCGTTAAATCATCACAACAGGGATAAAAGTATGGATTGTAAATCGCCATTGACTGTACATTGCAGGTAAATTGTAAACCCATTGTAAATATTAACTTTTTATTCTATTAATTTTTGTTTTTATACACTATTTACAGTCTGGGCACCGATAGGAGCTCAATCTTTGTGACTATGTGCATATTGGTGCAGCAGTTGAGAACCGAAAAGGGCATTGATATTTGTTCAACCGCCAGGAAAATAAGATCTCAGCGGCCAAGGCTATTAAATTCATTTGTAAGTGTCTACAAATTTTATAAAAGGAGGGGTTAGGTGTAGTCAACGACATGAAAAAAAGTCAATTTTTAACAATTGTTTTTTTTTGCCAGTAAATAATTTTCTTTTGTAAACGTAAAAACATAGCATCAATAAATTAGGTTTCGACTTGACTCTGGAAATAATATCATAACTTTGAAAGCAATGTCTGTTTGTATTGATCCAGTTCAAACCGAAGCTCCATGCGGTGACCATCACCAATCCTTGGAGATTAATCTAAAATCAATCGAACAATAAAAATGTGTTGTATTATTAGATAATTTAGTGCCTGATCAAAGCCTCTTTTAATTAACATAATAGCGTCCTCGGAAAATTTTTTTCCAGGTTTTCGCGAAAAACTCAAAAGTTAATTGTATATAAAAAATCCAAATTAGAAATAAGTGCTTCGATTAGGCACTAGTTTTTCATATTATCAAAAAAAAACTGTTGTATACTTTTCATTGAAACCTACCGACCAGTTTACGAGCTACAGTGGTCATCAGTTCAAAAAACATAGCTTTGAGAATGACGAATTTATAATTTTACGCGAGAGCACCCGAGAACCCTTTGCTAATTATCGATGAACTCGAAAAATATTTGTCGCATTTACCTCATAGTTTCAGAGAATATTTCTAAGATATCTTAAGAAGATCCAAAAAAAACTTTTTTTTTTTTAATTCTGACTACATCTAACCTCATAATATCAAGTATAAAATAAAAATTTTATATTATACATTTCTAATTTAAATTTATAGGCACAATACGAGTTCCTACATCGCGCCATAGCCAACTACGCTGACTTGCACAAACTGTCGACAGAAACTGCGTCTTCTGAGTGTTAATAAATTAAGATTAATTAAAAGTGAATATTTTATAAGTTTGCATCACACACTTACACAACATACTGATTAGTCATAAACATTTAAATTAATATAAATATATATATATATACATACATTTGTATATGTATACATTTGTATATCTAAGCACAAAAAGTATTTGTAATGCATAATAATCATATTCATTTATTGTGTAAAACTTCGCGAACCCAACCACAACACAAAAGTCTATTAATGTTTAAAAAGTGACTTATGTATAAGTTTTTTCTACCTAAGTTTATTTAGCAGACTACCAAAGGACAGCCCGTAAATAAAAAAAAAATATTTTAGATAAAACCAAGTTGTCCGCGGACTTTTTAAAGTATTGTGTTTAAATTAGGGCGGAGACAAAAGTGGAGCCTTTGAATGTAGACATAAAAATATGCTATGCTGGGGCAGTCATTATAATTTGGAAATATTTTAAATCCCTGAACATAGTATATTAGGTTTGCCACGAAGTTTGTAGTACCTAGGGAAAAACGTCGGAGACTTTATAAAAATATATATATAAAAGATCAGCGCAACGAGCTGAATTGGTTTAGACATATCCGTCTGTCTGTAAACGAACTAGTCCCTCAGTTTTTGAGATATCGATCCGAAATTTTGTACACCTCGTTTTCTCCTAAAGAAGCTGTTCATATGTTGTTGTTGTTTTAGCGGCAAAAAGCATTCCTGAAGTAATTTCGAGGAATGGTGCCGAGTTGACAGTCCTTAGCCGCATAAAAATCCGTGTCCGTTCCGGTTACTTAGACCCAACTGTCGTTGGGTATATTATTACTTAAGGCATCGGTACAATCGCCGAAAAAATTGTTCAGATCGGACCATTGTAGCTTATTACTGCCATACAAACTGACAAAATTAATGAATTAAAAAAATATTACAAAAAACTTCCGAAGCATTTATTTTGATATCAAAGTGGCCATGGCACAATGGCTATCAAAAAACTAAACAAATGCGATAAATCGATAACGGTAAAATGTATTATGAATTTTAATTAGACTCTTGAAACAGAGTATACTAGTTTTGTTCATCTAACGGTTGTTTGTATTACCTAAAACTAATCGAGTTAGATATAGGGTTATATATATATAAATGATAAGGATGAAGAGACGAGTTGAAATCCGGATGTCTGTCTGTCCGTGCAAGCGTTAACTTGAGTAAAAATTGAGATATCTTGATGAAATTTGGTACACATGTCTCTTGGCACCCAAGGAGGGTTGGTGATGCAGATGAGCGAAACCAGATCACTGGCATGCCCACAAAATACCATTAAACGAAAATCTATTAAGTGCCATAACTAAGCAATAAATTAAGATATAAATCTACAATTTAGTACAAGTGATCCCAGTAGCAAGGGGCAACTGGGTTTTAAAAATTTTGGTGTGGTTACGCCCCCTAATAGGTTTAATGTACATATTTCCTAAGTCACTAAAGCTTACTCTCTATATAACGGTTTTGTTAAAAACTACATCCAGAATGGTACGAGAGGGCTTTATAAGAGCCGGTGTCAAATGGGCCTGGCATTGCACAAATTTATTGGAATTTACATATCTCAGGGCCGAATAGAATAGGTATATAACGTTATCTTGTCAGTCCTATGACACAGTGCGAAAATGGGCGAAATCGGGTTACAACCACGCATACTTCCTATGTAACACTTTTAAATTGCATCTGATTCTTACACTTTCCAGTATACAGTTCAAGAACCAATCAATGTAACCGAATAAAACTAGACAGATACTGAATATGGGGACTTCAGTGCCTGTTGCTAACTTTTTACCGGAAATACCGGTAAATCTGTGAGATATGTTATGTTATTGAAATTTGGAGCAAATCTTTTCCTGATAAAAGGATACCTGTATGTCAACAATGGGTTGAAGATAACTAAAATAAAAATTTTCGAACTTCCAGTTTACTTTATACCGCATATATCGGCCAACATATGAGTTATTTCTGTGAAAATTAGAGAGCGTATTTTCTAATAACCCTTAAATGGATAATATCGAGTGAAAACTTGTCCTAGCCCCTTATAACTAATATCACTATTTTCTAACATCCGGCTGCCTTTACTTATTATATAGTGATGATGGTAAGTGAGATACCTTAATGAAACTCAGGAAGATTTTATTAGTATGTGGCATGTGAATAGTATGTGGTATTGCCAAAACTAGATAAAACCGGCTCAATACTACCCCTATCTACGATATACATACGTTATACAAAATTTTTAAACTTCCGATTGGCCTTATACTATATATCAGTCAATGTGTAAAGTTTTGTCAACCCAACAGGTATTTCCCCGGCTTTAAGCCTTGTAAGTTGCAAGAGTATAAAATGTTCGCTTACACCCTAACTTAGCCCTTCCTTACTTGTTTTATTTCAACATTGTTAGCAAAATTATTAATATTTAGATACCCCTTACATATATATATCAAACAGAACAAAACAATTTATTGTTTATTTAAATATATTTAGGATCCAAAATACAAAGCAAATACACTTTAAAATTCGCGGTATTTTGATATATACAAATCTAATTTGTGTTTGTTTCAGTTATTCCTTTTAATTATAAATCCAATGTGTAATTTATTAGTAAAAATGAGTGAAGCTATTACACCGAAGCAACTGAATATTCGGCAGGAAATTTGAATGTGTGAGATCCAAGTGATCTGATTGTTGGCAACAAGCCTGCATTTGGTATGATATTCCACGATAGATATAGCGAAACATTTTTGTTGTTTCTACAAAGAAAAATAAAATAACCATTCATGGTATGAATAAATTTAAAAATAATTTACTTACTTCAAACCATTGCCATCATCCCAGAAGTAATACTTTGTATTCATGTTCTTAAAATCTAATGCAGAATTTTCACCGCGTAAAATTATTTTGTCCCACAACACAACTTGATTCAGCACATTGTCTGCAGTTTTATATTCAGCGGTCAGGTAAAGGAACAATTGTTTTACATTCCAATTGAACAGGCTTGTCAAATTAGTCTCCAAATCGAAAGTAAGGAAACCCAAATCATGTTTTTCACGAGAGGCGCCATAGTCAGGCACATTTTTGCTAAAATTTATATATGCAACAAAAATATATGAATTAGTTGTCGGCATAAGTGCACACCTTTACTTACACCAGCACCTTTACAGTGTTTACGTGTGCAGTAGTCCTGCTGTCCAGGAAGACGGTCGAAAGAAAACAACAAAAGGTTAGGCAGGCGAGAACACTCAATGAATATGCAACAGTGGCATTTCCGCGCGTTAGTACGGTATGCATTTTATTTTATTTTTGTTAAAGAAACACAAATTTATTAAGCTAACTACACGTATTCCAATAAAATTACCTCTTGACACGTAGAAATAGTCGCGGCTTGTCAAATGCCAGTTGAATGCGGAGCAGAGATTATTAATAGAAACAATACAATACAGAGTGATGCCCGTGTATACTTAATAAGAAAACAAGAATTGGTTTTGCAATATTAAATAAATCATGACAACAAAAATGATATATTCAAAGATTTAAACATTAACATTATCAAGCTTAATCGCATATAGATATACTTTATAGAAATATAAAAAAGTGTATTAGTATAAGCAATAAATATATACTCTTTAATGCTAAAAATGTGTTATATCAAACATGCTGTGTTTAAGGGGCAATTCATCAGTCTGCAAGTTGTTCAATTAAAAACAAAACTTCTCAACGACGAGTCATAAATTTGATTGTCTAATACTATCAGTGAATCAATATTTTCAACGTATTAATTAAAAGTAAAAATGAAACCTGTGGTAATTTTGACATCGTGTGGCGAGCAAAAGCCGGACAAAATAGCGAGAGGTATTTGATAACAAAAGCATCTGTGTATCCAGTTAACATCCAGTCAATTAAGCTGTTTAATATAATGGATTGTAAATATTTTTACAGATATTCTTGTTAGCAATGGAAACGCTATAGACAAACCTGTAACCATACCGTTTGGATCATCAACATTTGTGACTTATTTATGCGATCTTAAAACAAAATATTACGAAAACACCATCGCTTTGTTACCTTATGAGGGAGATATCCGTGAACTACCTGAAGATCTTTTAAGTGCCACAGAAATGTTAATAGCTTACTTTGATCCATATGATGTAAATAGTTTTATATATATTTGTTAATTTAATGATTACAATTTTTATTTTGTTTAGAAAACTTTCAAATCTCACTTAAGTGAATATTGCAATTTTCTAACTAACAACGACATTGAGTTGGGATTATTACTGACTAGCAAACTCTACGATGATGCTAAACAAGGCCTGACTTATGGTACGGTGAAAGAAAGTTGTAAATTTCAATTTGATGTAATTGAATTATGTAATGATGACGATGATAGTGAGACAACGGGATATACGGAAGTTGTTGAAGTATTAAAAAATAATGTATGGTCAAACGTCACAGTTCCAGGTAAGATTTTTTTATCTCAAATATATAATATAATTATTAAAAAAATCTATATATAAAGGTGCCAACACAGAGGAACTTGATGGTGATCTGGAAGAACAATTGGAAGGCTTCGAAAATTTAATAACGAGCATACAAAATTTCAAAAGAATTTCGAGTGGAATGGAAAGGGATCAAAGGCTTAATGAGGCGGAAAAATTAGCAGATCTCTTTATAAAAATGATGAGCGAAGATAAATAATGTGATATCTATGGTATTTTGATTAAGTTAAATATATATATTTAAAATATACAACATATTCTGTATATTTCTTTCTTTTTAATCAAATTTGAAAATACGTTTTTTTTTACATTTGGTGCTTTTTCTAAGCATTTTTTTATTAAATATTTTGAGTGCATGTAGTTCTGTGCTGAAATCACGACGACACCTTAAATTAATTTAAGGGGAATCTTTGTATCTATGTACATGAATACATATATGTATATATTTTATATCACTTTATTATTGATAAATTTAAGCTGGTAAAAGATCAAAGTCATCGCTAACATGTACAATAGGTACATGGTCCTTATCAATGGCAGTTTCACACTTATAATCCCATAATTTATGTTTTTTCAATGCAATATCCCAATCCATCATCTGTACGGCATGCAGACTCTCCGCTTCGTTATGATGACGTAAAACCATGGCTTCCTGAAATCGGAACAAACTTTGTGAGCGAGTCTAAAAGTTGTTTTGTTATTGTTTTTACCTTGATTTTGTCCCACTTATCATCGACATCTTGCAACCAACTTAGTAGTTGTCGACCATTGAAACGATAACGTGCGTTTTTATCCTTTTCATCCTGCTCCGATGTTGGTATATTGTATACTTCTTCATCTTTAAGTAGCGTACACACCGAATACGGCACTGGCTGACATGAAATGTTGCGCGCTGCCTTCGAGTGAACACGTATCATTTCCTGTTCCACATTCAAACATAATTTTTCACGCTCCACAATGTGGCGCTGTAGCAGTGCATTGCGTTCATTTTCTTGCAAACGGTAAATTTCCTGCATTTTCGGTGGAATATTAGACGGTGTAACGGGATCAACTTTCTGCTCAGTACTTGCAAGCAGATAAGTCTTTTTATTCAGCAAATACTCGTTATAACCCTGCGGCGGTCTTGGTTTGATCGGGTACATATTTTGCCACTTTTTCTCAATTTGCCTGCGTATTCGAAGATACATTTGGAAACAATTTGTAAATGGCATATCATGCGAATGTGTATCAGATATTGAAGCGTTGGCTTCTGTATTTGTATTTTGATTTCCATTGTTTTTATTATTGTGATTATCATCATGTTTGGTGCGTATTTTTCGCTTGCGCGGATGTAATTCGACACCGTGTGAATGTACGTCTTTCGATGACGATGTAGACGAGGTGGATGGGCTTGGTAAATTAACAATATTCTCATTTTCATACGTATGATTATGTTGTAGAGGGCTTGCGCTAACATTTGTAAACGTAAGTTTATTATCTGTAGTACCCTCATTGGCGTTCGACGACGCTGGCGATGGTGAACTGCTTTGCATTTGAGGTGAGGAATTGTTAGAACTGCGTTCGGCACTAGTAATACCACTGCGATGAGAACTACGTAGGACACGATGTAGATTTTTCTCCTCGTTTAATAACTTTAAATTTTTTTCGTCTATAACATTACATTGCATGTTATTTATTTTTATCGGACTTTCATGTGGACTGCCGCATTGCGTTTCACGTTCGCTGGAATCATTTGTGTTTGAACTAACCACATATGGTAGCGCTGCATTGCGAGATGTGTTGATTTTGCCTGTACGTGATACATTTCCATCGGTATCTATGGAGCAATTCTGTTGTGGAATTACAATTTTTAGTGGCGGCACCTTTAAACCGCCACTGTATAAAGATTCAGACATTTTAAATTCTTCATCATCACCTTCCGTTTCAAATTGTTTAGCAAAACCAGATTTTGCCAATTCAGCCTGTTCTTTTTCTGTGGAGTTTACATTTTTATTTGGATTCGGTGAACTTTTAGCTGCCGATGTTTGCTTGATAACCTTTTCCGTACGCCCGGGTAGACGTGCAGTTGTTGTGGTTTTTGCATCTTTTCCACCATCTACCTCTTTTCGTTTTTTTTTCTTGCCATCATCACATTCCTCAAAATCATCCTCATCTATATCTGAGAAATTACGTTTACCCTGACTGGACGAAGGTGTATCTGCGCTGCCAACACCATCGTGTTCACTTTTGTTTTCGGTATGTCCCTCATCAGTAGTTAATTTATCGCGACTGGTCTCTGAATGATCGTGCTTTTCTGTGGAGTTAACATCTTCGGCATCATCACTTTTTTTATGCTCATTCTTTTTGATGTGCGTTCTGGAGGCCTCTGCAATTTTTTTTATACTTTTAGCTTTCTACTAACCGTTTATATGAAACTACAATTTCAAAATATTCGTAGTATTGTTATATTGCTACAATAGCAATTATTTAAATATATAAATTACCTGTCGTCGAGTTTGCCGTCATCTGAATAAGCAGTGCCATTTGCTGTCTCTCAGACATCGGTGTATTCGGGCTGGGCCTTGATGTTGTGACTCCTGTATTATATCCCACTCCCCTCGGTCTTGGGGGTGGCATAATATCTTAGTAATATTGCGTACCCAAAATATCAAAAGTGAAATTCCAAAAGAAATAAAATTCTAAAATGTTTTGAAAAGAAAATAAACCCAAACACGCATAAATGTCTCTCATCAAATATTTCACTGACTAATCTACTTAAGCTGAAACGCTATGAATAACGGAATCATAGAGAGTATCATATTATTTTTAGCTTTTAAATACATTTTTAGTTAATCTCTGTTCAAAAGCACTGAAACTACATAGCTAATTCTGTGTTCGAAGACAGAACTCTTGTTGAGCATTATTAAAGGTAGAAGTAATTCTGAATATCTCAAATAGGTAGGGAAATTTAAATTTTATCATAAATTTTTTGTACGTAATGTACAAGCATGCCTAATATAACAGAAATAATTTAAAAATGATGAATAAGAATTTGAGAAAATAATATGATAGGGAATTCTGAAAATTGTCCGACGCGCGTTGAGCATGTGTAGCCCATTCTGACAATGAAAGAGATATTGTCGATAATGAACAAAAGGCGTTTCAACGTTTGACTTTTGAACCAGACATAGGTAAAAGTTTTGTCAATAATTCTGTGAAAGCGACCCTGAAGAATACGAAAAAGACAAATAAGAATTCAATAATATCTGAAAAGTTTAGCTCTCCTAAAGGAGGTATATTTTCAACTATACTAGCGAAATCAGCAGATTTCAAATGTGCTAGATTGTTAGTTTTTTTTACAACAGCAATTTGTAATCGTAATTGCAATTTAAATCATAATTTGTACCATTGTTTTAATATATCTACAAATATTTTAATTAAAAAGGATTTAAAATGTCATTGGTATTGGTATTCTTTCATTTGAAACTTAATCAAACTGTTAGAACTATAAACATATTAATATAAGTTAATATTTAATTGAAGTAAGGAGTAATAAGAGGTTAGGGGTAGTAAAAATTTAAAAAAGGCACTTCATTATCTATTGTTCTGTCCGATTTCTTTTAAATGAATATCTAATTGCTGATTCAAATAAAACTTTTGCTTCGATTGCTCATCTCTTACGCTTTGCCAAGTTACAGTCGCACGGAAAGCAAAGCGTTCATTCTCACATACCCTTTGCTTTCTTCGCTTTATTGTTTGAATATTGCTTTGAACATAAAGACGCTTGCATGACATGACTGCACGACGGCGAAATTTTCCTGTCTGCAAATGTTGTCTTGAAGCCAGCATTTTAAAGATGGTAGCGACATATCACAATTGGTGTACGTTTTTTTCGTTGTTGCCGTACTAACTCTTCACTTCAATGAAATTTAAATACTTTGTTCAAAGTGACAAAAAATAAGTAAATAGGTCGTAACAGTAAAAAACAAATTTACTGACAAAAAGATTTTTATGTATCTGACTACACGTAATCCCACAATACAAATATTATTTCAGGTATTTGAAGAAACAGGAAAGCAAATTCTTGTTTCATGTGAAACATTATGATTATTTTTCTGTTTTGATGATACTAAGCACTACAATCCTTTATTTTTAGTTGACAACTATCTGTTTGCATAAATAATATTTATTAAAAGAAATTGCACAGAAACATAATACACATCAGAGTGCGCTCTCGCTTTTCTTAAATATTTGCAGCACCTTGTCGCGTACTTAAATTTTTTTATGGTTCGTACGTTTTCTGTTTTGTTTCATCAGGACTATTGTGTATCACCTGGTGTGCTCTACTTAATATTTATCGCTTTTTTTTGCAAACAAAACTTGTATCATCAAATAGTTAGAAAGTTTGTATTTATCGCATTGATTTCTCGTTAAAAAATAATGTTAAAATAACCAATTCTGTTATATTACGCTGTTGTATACGATATATTACCGAAGTACGTGTTTGATAAAAGTGCTTAAAATATGTTATTGATTTTTCAATAGTTTGTGTAAACTTTACTGTGTCTTTAAAATGCACAATGTTAGCGCAGAAAAAATATACAAACATCATCACCGCATGTAAGACGAACTTATAGCGTTAATTAAGTAATTGGTAAGTGCGGCCGAAATTTCAGTAGCGGCCAAGTAAGCAAACAGTGTAGAAAAAAGTGATATTTGCACACAAAATTACTATTCTGTTATATGAATGATACAAAAAGGAGGCTGCGTTGTGCACTAGGCGCCACCATACTAGCAGCGCGGCACATTCTTATGTACATATATATACTAGATAAGGGGTACAATACGAAGGGGATGTTTGGATACACATACATACATTCGTATACGTGGAGTCGTGTGCGCTAATGACAATTATTCGCCAATATTTAATGTTTATGTACATATGTCCATAACTGAATAAATCAGTTGATCGCGCGAGTTTTATAACTTTTACAAATAGGGCGTTGCTTTAGATGCCAAAATATATACATATCCAGTTCGCTTTATAAAATACCTATCCAATATATATTTTGCGTTAATAATATATTGGTGGGGTAGGATTAATTGTACTTAACACTTTCGAATTATAAATATAAAACATATTTTTACATACTTGCATATATGAAGAAGCTTTTAAATGTATTTACACCGGTTTCGTAAACTGTAAAATGTAAATATGCCATACGTAAGTTAAGTGGTATTATTGTTCAGTAGAGAAAGCATCCATGCTTAGTACTGTTAATATATCAAACAGTTTTATTTGCGTTCACTTACGCAATAGTAGTAGTCAGAGAAACAAACCTGACATAAACTGCTAATCCAAAAGTAGTCTTACTGAAACATTTTACAATACAAAATTATGAAGCATAGTAAAAAAATAGCTATTTCAGATATGAAAATAATTAGCACTATTTAAACACAAACACTATTATTTTTATTGTCAACCTCAATTGAATATAAATGGAGACAGATTCAAAAGCCACATATTTTTTATAAATTACTTATGCACATAAGTATGTACATAACTATGTATCTATGGTACATTTGTACATATGTACAAGAAAACGCTGCTAATGTAAAAAAAAGTTGAAAAAAAAACCAATAAAAACCATAGGATTTTTATTTCAATTAATGTTTTTTTATTTTTTTTCTAAAATATTTTTATGCAAATTCGATGCTGTAAAATTAATAACAAATATTTAACATTGATTTACATAGGTTTTTCCAGCATATTTTGATGGCACTAATAAAACAAAATTTCTATTATTTTGCTCTTACAAGAAAAAAATATGGATTTTAAATGGATTTTCCATATATTCCATGTTTATTCATATTTGAAGATACTTGATTCTTGAGTACAAATGTCATAATCGAATAAACTAACAAAACTGAAAAAACGACTAAAATGTAAAGGTCGATTTTTTCATTATTTTTTTAGCTTTCTCAAAAGTTTTAAAAGTATTACATACTTTTTTCGATTGAAAATTTTGTTTAAAGAATACCGATTAGACCTCATGGGAAAAGTAGTTTGAAGAAAAACGTGTTTGAACTTTTAAGTTGTGACTAAACCGTCCGAGTTCGCACGACACTAAAATAATGTAAATTTTAAAAATCCCTTATTGATCAAAAATATCAATAACTTAAACTATCAAAATGTGAAGAACCTTTTAGTTTTATATAATAAATAATTAATTAATAAATATATTTTATGGTTTCTTAACATTAATTTTTATTAGTGTTAAACTATTGTGCAAATATACATTTATTGTAGGTAATATAAAATTACTAGATTTTGATCTAAAAGTAAGTATGTATACCATATACACGTATACGTATTTGAAAAAAGTCATTTGTCTTTATTATATGAATTTCATTAATGTACAATATTAATTCCTTGTTGTAAATTATTAGAATTTTGGATGTTTTCCAAAAAGTCAACTGCAATGCAGTAGTTTATTATAAACATACATATGTACATATATTTATATGTATTTTGTGGAAAAAATCGGCGTTTACGCAATTTCTTTGTATGCCACGCAACGAAAAACAATTAGAATGTAAAATTTTGGCAACTTTAGTGTGCTTAAAATTGAGTTTTTTTTTATCCTTTTCAATATACACACTTGAAATTAATAAATACATTTGTGTATTTATGACCTTTACCAGCGGATTCCGTAAATGCATCTTTCTTTATGGGCGTATATTTGTATATTATATGCGAAAATTCTGTCAAGGCTAACGTGTAATTCTCATATTCCGGTCAACTATCTTAAAAGTGCTGGGAATCAGAGAATTAATGTGAAATAAAATATGCTTTAAGCTTAAAAGCTAGACAGCCAAAATTCAAAATAATATAGAGCACTTACGAACTTTCCAAAATGTCAAAGCAGACGTTTATCAATAGGAGAGCAGTTGTTTATAAATAAACAATAAAATAATACAACTTTAAACTGAGGTCAATGGATATTTGAGATAATGTTTCTCAATGAGCAGAGAGCGTTTATTGATATCATACTTAGAGCTGGAAACAAAAATAAACTTCAAAATATTTGGCATATAAATAAATCCAATTTCAGCACTTATGCATGTTATATAGTGCATATGTATGTAAATGTGTACATTTATGGCTTTATGCATTATTTAGGTTTATGTTTTACAAATTTGGGGTATATAAAGTTTGTTACGAAATTCGTAACACACTGTAGGAATCGTTGGAGACATATAAACTTTATATGTATATAAATAATTAGCGTAACGAGCTGAGTCTATTTAGTCCGTCTATTTGTATATAAAAAAACTAGTTCCTCAGTTTTAGAGATATTGATCTGAAATTTTGCACACGATCTTTTTCCCCAAGACGCTGCTCATTTGTCAAAACTGCCGATAACCATAGAATATAACTGCCGTACAAACTGGTCGATCTAAATCAAGTCCTTGTAAAAAAAAAAAACATTTTTATTTGACAAAATAAAATATATAAATAACTTTTTTCCTTATTAAGTTACCTTAATTCGACTTGAATTGTATTTATGTATAATCAAACAACGTGGCTACAAAGAAATAGCAAAATATTTTCCATTGGATGGAATTTGTTGGCCGGTCACGTTTTTAGATTTAGTTTTGTATATACTTATAGATGCTATAAAAAATGCACCTGTGAAGGGTATTAAAACTTCGGTACAGCCGAAGTTAATATTTTTTTTATTGTATTTAGTATAGTTGGCACTTGAATTTACAAGTATCTCGTAGAATATGTATCCAACATTATTTTACTGTATAATACATAATTCTAGCATTACTGAAGGCATCGAATCGAAATTATAACAAATGCCACTGCTGTCATATTGCAACTTTGCTCAGAATATCTTCAAAAATATTTGAATCTTGACATTCTTTATGAACGAATATGACGTCCCGACTGATTTTAAATAGTATATACATATATGTGAGATATCTTTGATTTAGCTTAAATGTTTATTTTCCTTAATAATTTAAAATTTTAATTTTTACGATGATGATATATTAAGACCTGCAGTTTAATTTAGTATGATATTCAAAAATTACAATATAGTTTGAGGTGCTTCCGCTGACACTGTATACCTACTATATGTATAGTGTAATGTAGAATTTACAATAAACACTGTTCTCAATTTTCGCAATTTTGTTTTTCAAAACTAAACAAATTCAAAATTCTCGCTGTACGAAATCATAACAAAAAACCAAAAACGTTAACGTCGCTTGCAATTACCATACAACCATTTGATTTCGATCGTTCAGTTCCAACAAATGAGCAACTTATTAGGGAGAAAAGGACGTGTGCAAAATTTCAGATCGATACAGACGGATAGACGGACATGGCTAAATCGACTCAGCTCGCCATGCTGATCATTTATACAAGTCTTTGACGTTTCTTAAATATTATTTTATATATGCAGTTTTGTATCTTAGTTTAGTGCTGAGTTAAGGCACTTTATACGTTTTTGTTTAATGGCATTTTGTGGGCGTGGTAGTGGTCCGATTACGCCCATCAATGCTTTTTTTTTTGCCAAGGAACACGTGTACAAAATTTCATTACGATATCTTAATTTTTACTCAAGTTACAGCTTGCACGGACAGACGGACGGACGGTATTCATATAGATAACTCTATATCTAACTCGATTATTTTTAGGTGATACAAACAACCGTTAGGTGAAAAAAAAACTATTATACTCTGTAGCAACATGTTGCAAGAGTACAAAAATTAAGAGTAATACGAAAATATAAATTTTCCAACCGTCTGCTGACGAACATTTGACTACCGTTCCGTAATATTAAATATATATATTATGTACACTGCGCGTCACCAGGTTAGCACGCCTCAGCAGCCTAATATAATTGCTTCTGATTTTTTTTATTAACTTGTTGCTACTTCATTGTGTGCTGATTTCCTCATCTTTGTATGAATAATCTTTGGTAAAGAAAACATGCGATAAGGATGTCCCGTTATATGGTTTTTGCGATTTTTGGTTCTTTTTAGCCGAAAAGTGGGCTTTATTTTTGCGTCATCAGGTAAGCACATGCAATTTTATTTGCATTTTTCTTTGAAGTTTGAATACGTATTCACACCAAATTTTTGGTAATGCATTAGTGCTCTATTTGCTTTAATAGGGCCAAAGGAAAATCGCTATTGGTTGTAGAGGAAGGAGTAGTCGAAGCTAATGAAGAATATAAAAAAAAGTTGGCAGAAGTTATATACAATTTCTGCATAATAATTAGGAGTACGGTCGAAATAATAAAGGCGGTAACAATAAAGTGATTTTCAATATTAACAAGAGAGCAATTTTGAAAAAAGCATCAAACTCTCTGAATCGACCGCCAATATCAGGCAAATGCTGGTGTTAAATTTACTGTTCAAAGGATGCTAAGGAATGCTCCACAATTGAAACTTCTAAAACTAAAGAAAAGTCCCAACTTAAGGTTCTCCAAAAAGAAACACCATTACATTTTGCACCCGAGCACATTACCTTAAAGTCTGATTGGCGCCATGTTGTCTTTTTAGACCAAAAAAAAGATAATTTGGAAGGACCCATGGATACAATTGTTATATCCATGATCTTCGGAAGGAGAAACATTT